ATATTATAATGTCTGTTGTGACTTAAAAAAAGTATTATTATTCGATTGTTGTGAGTATTTGTAGTGAATCAAATTATAGTTGGTTTTTTGTTCAGTGACTATTTGTTGTGACTATATAGCATTATTCAGAAGTTTAATGTGAGTTTTGCATATAGTGTTAAGAACCCAAATACATAAAACAAAATTTTGTGCCCTCTTCTTGCCAGTCAGTGTTTATTGGAAGTGTTTCTTGGGAGAGGATGAAGGTTAATTCTGGCTTTGAGGGATAAGCAATATTTTACCAAGTCAGTTGACTATGAGTATTTTTATCAAGCTATTCTAGTGAAGTATAGTCTGTATAGAAGAAACACACTAAATATAGTCTGTATATTTTATCAGTCAGTGTTTATAGTTGGTTTTTTGTTCAGTGCTGCTTATACTGAATTGGTGTTTGTGCTTGTGTAGTGATCTGTTAGGTTCGTTTTAGTTGGTTTTTTGTTGAATACTGAATATACTGAATTAGGGAGTTAAACATTCTTCAGGTTTGAGTTTGATATGAGGGTAGGTGTAGTTGAACATGTATTTTCTGTTGTCTGTTATTCTATTATGATCGAAAAGAAAGGACTTCTAAAGTGGGATTCAAAATATTGTTTTGCTTAGTTATATATTTACTTTTGGGAAATTAAAGAGCTTATATTTTCATAATCTCGATTATAGTTATGAATGGATCTATTGAGTAGGAGAGAATGTAAACATACATTTGGATTGTATTTTTTGATATCCCTGTTTTATTCTGTTTTTTGTGTCAATGCTATATTGCTACTCCAAACCTTTGTTAATGAAATGCAAAAGTGATTCATTTGGTTGGTGTTGCTGGTGGGTTATTTATTCATTATTATTATTATTATTATTATTATTATTATTATTATTATTATTATTATTATTATTATTATTTTGGTGAATAAATGATAATTTGCCAGACATGACTACTTTTTTAGCCTGCTATTTGAGTATTGTGTCAATGCTAGATGACTAATTTATACCTTTGTACATGAGATGAAATACTGATCTTTTTGGTTGGTTTTGCTGTGGGTTTTTATTAATTTTTTTGGTGAATGAGGTGAACAAACGATAATTATGTCCAATTTTTGTTATCGCTGGTTGGACTCCTACCGAAGCTGGGGTATAAGTATATTGCATTTCATGAATGTTTATATCTTGTTTATCTTATGTATATATATACATTAGATTTTTTTTAGTAAGACACATTGGATTCATCAATTTTGTTTACCTAACACATATATTTACATTAAATATACTATTATTTGTGTGTGTCCAATTTTTGTTATCGTGGTATTAGTATATTGTTTATCTAATGTTTATATCTTGTTTATCTTATGTATATATATACATTAGATTTTTTTTTAGTAACTCATACATTGGATTCATCAATTTTGTTTACCTAACATATATATTTACATTAAATATACTATTATTGTGTGTGTAATATATATGTTCTGTCAACTGGATTCATTTCAGCATTTTAGCTAACCCACTTTATATTATTAATATACTCTTTCATTTGCTATGTACTTATAGGAATGGGAGTTGCTCATACCCAATCCAAGAACGAAGCACATCAAAATTCTAAATAGCAACGACAACAGCAAAGAAGATTCCACAATAAGCCAGATTAAAGAATTATTGACCGAGGGCCAACTCGAGATGTTTAAGAAAACTGTGTTCGGCAAATTCCTGGACATACCTCACTGTAAAATCCAGACTCAGCTAGTAAATTTGATTTTGTTACGTGAGGTACATCAACGTAAGTCTGACGAGGTGTGGGTGAATTTTGGTGGGAAGATGCTCTGTTTCGGCATAGAAGAGTTTGCGTTGATATCAGGAATGCCATGCATTGTATCCAGCGAGAAATTAACCTTCCCCACAGTGACTGGCGGTCTCTACGACACATACTTCTCCAGGTTTCGATTGAGTAGGCAAGAGATACGAAGTCAATTCATCTATAAGGTCTGGAAGAACGATGAAGACGCCGTGAAGTTTGCAAAGCTACACTTGTTAGCAAATTTTTTACTTGGGGCCCAGGACACACTATTGCTTGACAGACGCTATCTCGACATAATTGATAGCGATGAGTGTGAGGAGTATGCATGGGGGAAAGAGGTTTTCGAATTCACTGTTCATTATTTGAAGAAGACGTTGCCCAATCGGCAGAAGATGCATACGAAAGGAGACAAAGAAAAGAGTGAATATCTATTCAGATGCTATGGATTTATCCTAGCATTACAAATCTGGTTTTATGAGATCTGCGACACAGCTAATGGTCTCATTTGCAGACGCACTGTCGGTGAAGATGTGCCTCGTATGTTGAGGTGGGAGGTTAAGGAAACCCACAACAGATCGAAACTTCAGAGACATTTCATGAACTTGCCACATGACAAGGTATGTTTACAATCTCCATTACTACCTTTCATTTTTTTATTACAATAATATACGGTACCGACGTTTTCTGATGCCTTTATAATCATTAACGTTTTCAGTTCAACAACTTGAGTCCGACAACTATTGAGAAATCCAGTCTTAATTTGAATGGGTTCTTCAAGAAAAGAAACGAATTTCTGGTAGATGACGATTCATCACCGAATGCTCCAACGCACAGCCAATCAGGGATCTTGAACAGATTGGATGAGTTGGGAAGAAAGCAGACAGAAATGGCCAATGATCTTCAAGCGCTGAAGAAGCTGTTTCAAGATTTCTCTGTCACTGTTTTGCAACGATTGGATCAGTTTGTGCGTTTATCTATATAAATATAATTTATAATGGTAATAAAAATTTTATTTTTTCCATATTTATTCATATTTTTATTTTTTTCCCCCGAATCATTTTCTAAATAGGGTGGAAATCTTGTTGCACCATCACATGATCAATTTGTATCCGACGGTCCGAACAATGACCAGGGCGTTGCCAATGCAGGCCATCCTCAGTCAAAGGTTAGTTTTGTTATGTGTAATTCAAAATTAGTTTTGTTCAATCTGATAATATCATTTTTTTTTTACCAAATATTGTCCTTGCAAATATTTCAGGAAGTCGATGACCCAGTTGGACGAGATACCGACTTGGAAAATGATCCAAACCTAGTATGTTAACCACAAATTTTAATTATGATAATTTGTCTAAATTAACATCTACTATTTATATAATGTTTATATACAATATATATAAACATCTACTATTTATATAATGTTTATATACAGTATATATATAGTATAACTGAATATGTACTTTTATAGTTATTTATTATTTTTGTTAATATAATGTATATATATACTCTATATAGATAGTATAACTGAATATTTGTTTAATGTCATCGATTATATTTTCTGTTTCTACCAATAGACTGATGAAGCATTCAACCAGAATGCTATGAAGGGCAAGACTGATGAAGCAATCAACCAGAATGCTATGAACGGCACATCCCACGACGTTGCTATGAACCAATGTGATGGTGATGATGACATCTTCTCTCCCATGAATACTCAATTTTTTGCCGAAATTGATAAGGCCACTGAAGGAATAACAAAAAGTCGATCTACTGGCAAGGGAAAGGTTTACAAATTATAAATTATGTTTTTTTTTTTTTTTTTTTTTTTTTTTTTTTTTTTTTTAAAAATTATAAATTATGTTTTTTTTTTTTTCGTTTTAGTTGATATACATTAAACATATACATTAGATAAACATATACACAATATATTGTTCAGGAAGTTGCAGGCTATGGCCTTTCACTGAATGAACGCATAGGTCTCATATCCGAACCGATCATTGTGTCTCAACCATCATTTGACGCAATAACGAAAGATCTACTTCCAACACAACCTTCAAGAGATGTGAACCATACTAGTGTTAGTGTGAGTTACTGTTTCAATTTATATGTCGATATTTTTTAGCTTATCATGATTAACATAACAATGTATTCGTAAACGATGTTTTTACTAATTTATTTATCTACTTTGTAGGAAAAAGGGGAAGTCCCCGTTCAAACAACTAATAATGAACCCAACGATGTTTTAGGTGTGGCCATACTTGCTAAGCCTATGAAACCACCTGTGTTAAATCCTGTTATAGCCACTTCATATAAACGGAATGTGATTAAAAATTCAAGTCCATTCAATGTTCCGTTCTGGACGAATATATTTGAAGTTGACACAGAGGATTTCATGAGGTGGCTAAGAATGGGTACGCTTCAGACTTATCGAAAGATCCGTGAACACGAGTAAGCTATATAATATTGTATATTTACTATTTATATTACGGGATATATTACTGTTTAGTAAGTATTAGTAAAATTTGTTTTTTTAATTTATTTTTAAACAATCTAAGTGTTGTATAGTGTGTTTACAAATGGGGACATTCTTCTATATTGTCATAAAAACATAAATTCAGTGTTGGTAATAAAATACACACGATGTCGTAATTATTATTTTTTTAACAGGTTCGAGCACTACCTTAAGAGATTCAGGCCGCTGAAGCCGCCATTCGACTTCAATGTTCACCATATCACTGATAAGAATTGGTTTATGACTCTGGTTGAACCTGGTTCCTTCCTTGATGACACTGTAAGTACATAGTTACTACAACTGTGCATGCCATTATATTATTATAAATAATTTTTTTAAGATCATGCTAATCACTATGAATTATCATGTCTATACAGCATATGGATGTTTTATTCTACTATCTGAGGAAGCGTAGAGCATATGGTTCTAACAACATCGTACGGTACACCACCACCGACGTTCTCTTTCATCAGAGAATCAAATCTCTGTTTGACTTATATGTCTCGAGAGGGTACGATACGGGTGTGTGTTCTTTGGACAACATTGTTGTTGATTACATAATGGGATACAAGATAATTTGTGGAGAGTCGTGGTTTAATGTTGATCATATCCTCTTTCCAATTCATATTGATTTGAACGGTGTTGGCCACTGGGTACTGGGACGATTATCCATTGGTGAGAGGAGGCTCGTTGTATACAATTCTTTGCGATCTGAAGAGTTTGACAAGATTGTCTACGACGGTGTTCGGTGCTATTCTACTCTCATTCCTATTTTCCTCGGTATGGTTCATTTCTACTCCAAAAGGACCGACATCAACAGTGTGGGAGAAGCATTCGATGGAAAAGGGGTGAATGATCCACTTGATGTTATTATGGCTGAAAATCTTCCCGAGCAGGAGCAAGGGTAAAGTCTATTAATTTTTGTATCATCCTTTACGTATTTATCCACGTAAATTTTAACGTGGATAAAAACATGCTTTATACATTTTTTTTTTATTATCAGTGACTGCGGAATATTTGTTGCCTCATTTGCCGAATACTTCATCACTAAGTTTGATCTCCCGACCAACTATCTTCCCGACACGGAGAGGATGAGGTACGCATACGAGCTATACCAACATGGTCGTATGAAGCAAAAATATTCGTGTGAGAGCGATGATGAATCCCCTGGGACGCTTGATGATATACAACGTGCAAAGCTCGCATCAGTTAGTTAGAATATGCCTACCTTTTGAAGGAGTACTGTTTGTCTTGTGTATGGAGAGTTGAACCATGTTGATACTATTTGGCATTATGTTTTGTTGCAATTTTTCTTTTTTTTTTTTTGTACTTTTTTCTGGTGAACTTCAGTGAATGTATATTGATGCTATTGATTTAGATATTTGATTTTGCACGATCTTAACCTATCCGGTCATTTTTTTGCAGACATATACACGCATACTTTAGGTAATGTGTTTACCTAACGTATATTATAAATAAATTTAGTAATGTGTTTACCTAACGTATTTTATGCCGTGTTGTAATGATAAAATAGGGACATAAGCACACATATTGTTTATCTAACGTATATTATGCCGTGTTGTATATTACACACTTTAAGTAATGTGTTTATCTAACGTATATTGTCCCGTGTTGTCAACATAACATATAGACATAAGCACACATACGTGTTTAACTCATGTATATTACATACTTTAAGTACTCTGTTTATCTAATGCATACATAAGCACACATTTTGTTTATCTAACGTATATTATGTCGTGTTGTATATTACATACTTTAAGTAATGTGTTTATCTAACGTATATTATCTCGTGTTGTAAACATAACATAAATACATAAGCACACATACGTGTTTAACTAATGTATATCACATACTTTAAGTACTCTGTTTATCTAACGTATATTATACTGTGTTGTCAACTCAAGTACATGATTGTCACTTATTTAATTTTTATTTATACTAATAAGACACATAAATGTACCAAATAACCATATTCTTATATGCACAACTTATGTAGGTTTGAATTTCACCATCATTTTTTTTTTTTATAAAATACTCCAGTACAAATGTACCAAAAGTAAGGAATAACGAAACAACCATAACAGAAATGTCAGTAATATTATGAAAAACGTAAACATTAAGTAAACACATCAAACTAATTTTGTTTAACGCTCTTCGGATTTGAACATGTCTTTACATTATGCCCTTTCCCACCGCATTTGCTGCACCTATTTTTTACCCGAGACTCCCATCCTGGCTTGAGTCTTTGCTGCCGCCGACGTCCTGGCCTCACTCTTCCAGTAGGTGGATTGATATTTCCAATGACATCAGAATCAACCGCACTGCATTTTTGGCTTGTCTCAATAGGGAAAACTGGTTCTGCATATGTAGCTAGCATAGTATCCGTTAAGTAATGTATTGAACAAAATGGAACTGGATCCAAATAAAGGGCTCTAATCACTCGGATGGCATGTGACCAAGGCAATTCATCCATCTGGAAACGATTGCATGTGCAAGACTTTGTCTCCAAATTTACTACATATCCACTTCTGTCGGATGACACCTTAAACACCTTGTCACTTGCCTTTTGTATCTAAAAGAAAAAAAATAAAAAACAGTTTCGAATGATACATCGTGTAATAAATGGTATGTATACATATTTATATGTAAATTTATGTATATTAAAAAACAACATAATGTTTTATAATTTAATGTATCTCACCGAAAAGCTGGCAGCTACTTTATAATTGTTTTCGAGCGTCTTGTGAGCCTTCTTTGCTAACGTTGTAAACGTCGACGCTGCTTCATCTCTATTAGCCACATTCCACTTTTGTTGTAAAGATCTCAATGACTCCAAAAGTGTTGTTATTGGTAAGTCACGGATCTCTCGCGTGGCGGAGTTAATTGCTTCTGCCGCATTGGACGTCATCGTAAAGTACCTGTTGCTTGGACAATGAATCCTAGCCCATTTATGTATTCCAATTTTCTCCAAAAACGGGGGTACTCGAGGATCAAGATTTTTTATCTCCACCATATGATGATTGTAATCAGCAACAGTGTATGCCCTCGCAGCTGCATTAAAGGCATCCTTAACAGCGCTTGGTTCTTTCTTGAAATGTGTCCGCAAGTTGTTCGATATATGATAGGCACATAAACAGTGTGAAGCCTCTGGATATACCTGCATGATGAATAAAATATATTTAAATATTCAAGACAAAGATTACAACAATATGACTTTGTTTATTTACTGTATATATTACTTTTATATACCCAATAGGTCAGACATATGAGTTTGTTTACTTACTGGATATATTACGTTTATATACACAAGAGGTCAAAAATATGTGTTTGCTTACTTAATGTATATATTACGTTTATATACCTAAGAGGTCTTTGTTTACTTACCGAATATATTACGTTTATATACACAAGAGGTCAGAAGTATACCTTTGCAACTGCATGTTTTATACTTTCATGTCCATCAGAGACAATGCACAAACCTTTCCGGAAAGTGAGTGCTTCCCTCAACTTTGAAAAGAACCATGTGTATGAATCATTATTCTCAGAATCAACAATGCAGAATGCCAATGGAAGTATATGGGAGTTGGCATCTTGACAACATGCTGTAAGCAATATCCCTCCATATGCCGAACTAAGGAAAGTCCCATCGACAACAATAATAGGTCTACAATGATTCCAACCTTTAATTGAAGCATTAAGACACATGAATACGTACATGAAGTGCTGGTCCGATGTGGCAGACAATCTCACGACACTATGTGGGTTCGATTCACAAATTTTTTGCAAGTACTCGTTTATTTTACCATAAGACATTTCTGGATTACCTCTCACTTCTTCCATAGCTTTTTTCTTCGACCTCCATGCCTTCTGGTAAGACAACTCTATTCCATGTTGAACTTGCATGTCGTGTATTATGTCCCCTGGAGCATAAGTTGTCTTCAAATTTGTGAATCTCGATCGAATGAACCCACTTACAATGTTGGACGTAGCCTGTCGTTGACCACTTGTACGTATTTCAAATGGACATGAATGGTTGCGCCCCACATCCCGAATCTTGAAAATGTTTGAATTTCCTACCCTTGACGCTTTAACATACCATTTGCATTCCGTACATATGCACTTGACGTAGTACTGCTTCGGACAAGACTTCTCCACTTTGAACTGGTATTGGTTTGTTATTGCATGGTGGCTGAGCAACTTCATCACTTCATTTTTATCTCTAAAAGTTTGGCCGACCACAACATCCCGAATCATACTTCCATCGACACCACATTCAAGTGTTCTGGAGTTGTTTATCTCCTGTTTATCTTCCGTATACTTTACTATTTCCAGCATTGAATCCGCAGCATGTTCGGCAAATGCTCTATAAAATTCATCTTTTTCAGTTTCGCCCTGTTCCGGTTCAAGACATTTTAACCCTTCTATATCACACACAGACGGATATGTAGACATTGGCATTATGCCTCGATCGGGTAAGGATACGTTTATTAATTGTTTTAAAACCACACACAAGGGCAACTTTGTGTAATCACACTCCTTCGACTTCAATGAAATATAGAAATGTAGGCTGCTATCATCATCCACACTCATAGCTGGATATCCATCTTTCACTTGATACTTCATCTCCAGATCATTTGAATACGCGTTTACCTTCAGTTTATCAAAAACAATAGCTCGGAGTTGATTGTAGTTACATGATGAACTAATCAAAATACCTCCGACATCATAGTTCACGTATTCATTGTTGATCCATACTCCATTATGATGTAAAAATACATTTACATCATTCATGTTCCTAAAAAATAAACAGGGTCACAAAAAAAAAACGACATGAATAAACATGAATCTGAAAATACAAAAAACAAAATTCACGATCGATAGCTAAAATGGCGAAATTCCCGATCAATTATAAAAAAGAAAAACGAAATCTGAAATTACAAAAAAAAACGCCATCTAAAATAAAAAAAAAAAATACCAACAAATTCGTTTTTGTACCTTCAGCTTTCAATATTCATCTCAAACGAAAGCTTAAATTCTTTTTTTAAAAAAAAAAACTATAATCTTGTAATCCATCACCAAACAACGAAGTTAACTATATGAATATGAATATACCTTCAGATGTCTTTCAATCCACGGCTATTTCACGATCAATTTTCACGAACAACCTCGTTTGGTTTTTTTTTTTCACTCTGCTTTTTTCTTGCACGCACGAATCCGTTGATATGATAATCCCGTTTTTTAAATTTGAATTCGTGATTTCCTGAAGTATAGGTAATCATGATCGCCATCTCTTTCAATCGTTTACCGTTTTCTCTTCTCTGCGTGATTTTCTCGCCTTTCAATATATGGAGAGAGAAAACCATTATATGGAGAGAGAACCAGATTTCACAATCTCGTATAAATGAAAAAGAAATCAATATTTATTCCTCTTTTGATTATGTTTTCTACAAATTGTATTTATGTAAATATATCTAGACTAGGGGTTATGTATGTATTTTTCCCAAAGATAAACCTCCAAGGTCCGGATATAATGCATAAAAAAGCAAGTCAAAACATTTAGATAATTCCACGTGATTGGACTGAAAATTCTGAATGATAATCCTAACAATTAAAAATAATCATCTAAGCACATAATATATAAGTTCAAGCAAGCACATAGAAAAAAAATGCAAGCATTTAAATAATTAGGGCATAGCACATCAATACAAAATAAATACAGGAAATCAATAAAATAAAAGCACGCAAATAATTGAATAACCTCGAGCCAATAAATGAAATAAAAATACTAAAATTCACGAGAAGCAAACGGGGCACTACAATCTACCCTCCTTAAAAGATTTCCGTCCTCGTAAATACAAAAGTACAGATAATCCCCAAAGGGGACCACAGATACAAAAGAGAAGTTTTAAACCATATAGTTCGGAAACTTCGTCCGAACCTCATCCTCGCTCTCCTAAGTCGCATCGCCCTAGCCCTAGAGATTCCGCTGGACTTTGACGAGTACCCCTCTCGGTTCCCAACTGATGGACCCTCTGATCCAACAGGCCACCGGTACTTCAACACAGGTAAGGTTCTGCCCATCATGCAGCTTGTTAAAGTTTACCACATGCCCTTGGATCATGCACATACCTCCTCTACTCGAGGTGCACATATCTCCTCTAGGCGAGGCATAAACACTCCCGAAAGCCCCGGT